CACCTCCTTTATGTCAGCTTAGATGTAATTCTGGCCCTGCAGTGAGCCAATTCCAATGCTGTAACGTAGAAGTGAGTTTATTCTCACTTAACCATTTTGATTTGAGAGGGAGCAGGATGACAAGTAAGGCAACATTGCTAATAAGGTTTGGCTAGGCTGCAGTGCAGTGATAGCATTAAAAATAATGTTTCTGAAATTCTCAAAACCTTTAAGGGATGAAGTTATGTGGTAGGGCTAAATCAATTTAACTCAAAGTTACATTGAAGGAAGAGTCCTGTTTCACTCTTCCTCCCACTTCAGTTTCCTGCCTTATGCCTGCTGCCTGTTTTGCATGAGCTGTGGTGCTTGCTAGACCATTTTGAGAGTTAAATGAGCTAATAATTCGCTAGGATGGTCAGGTGAATTTCTCAACCAATATTCTTGAGATTCCAGAGCGTGCACAAGGGTGGAAGGGGAGTTGTATAGGTGGGGATAGGGGGTAGAAAGATGAAAGAACAGTAGAAGAGGGAAGGAGAATAGGATTCCCTTTGTCAGCTGCACACAAGTTCCCCTTTTAGTACCATTACGTTCATCCTTGGACCATGATGAGACCTTGTTTTACAAAACTAAATTCCTAGTCAGTTACTGCAGAAAATCACAGAATGAATTGGGATGGACCTCTGGACATGATGTAGTCCAAGCCCTTCCTTAAGGCTTGGTCACCTACAACAAGTTGCTCAGGATTGGATCCCGTTGGACTTGGAACATCTCAAAGGGTGATGCCTTCACATCCTCACTCTGTAACCATTCCAGTTTACAATAGAATATTCCAGTTACGGTAGAGTCTCAGTAGAACAATATAGCAGTTCTGCATCATTTCTATTGTAATTACATAGACTATTACATGCTGTCTGCAAGCCACAGAAATTACTTTGGTGGATCATCACCATAGATTTCCAATCAAACTTTCAATGTGTAAGAATAAGTGAAGGCCAGCAATCTGTTATAAATAAGGTTGATGCTGTATGTGGTGAAACTGGTGAGTTTTGCATGGTAAATCAAAACTTCAGTCTGTATTTTGAATATGAAACCAAGTAATAAGCAGGTAGATGTAAAAAGGGATAGTTATCTTTCTACAGAGAGATAATGAAATAAAGTTGTTAATTTTTTTGCATGGGCTTAGTCCAGGTTCGTGTAAAAATTGAAAAAGTATGATAATGAGGACATAGAAAGCAAGCTAAATAGTGTGCAGATCATCATCTATTGCAGAAATCATTTGACTGTGTGATTCAAAATTCTGCTTAACTGAAATAAAGCATGTGAGACTAGGAAAGGAAGGCAACAATTTTCTTAATGCTTGTATTATTTGCTCCCTGATGGTATAATTACAGATGAGGGATGAAAATCATAATTGGGTAGGGTGAGAATAAACTGGAGTAAATTTATCAAAACCTAATCTCGGGAGATATTCTTAAACGTGCTCTTATTACACATACCTAATTTTAGAGTGAGGTGTGATGTTAAGAGTAATACCTTTGTTATTGTTCTGAATGAAACCCCTGTTTCATTTGGAGAAGCTGGATAATTTGCTGTATAAACCCTATTTCCACTTGAGCTTTTTGTGCAGTTTCAGTGGAAGCTCTTCATTGTAATATGTTATTTATACTAAATGATCGGGTGGTCGGTGTTCCTCCCGTCTTAGGGGAACACTTGTCAGTTGTTCTCAAAAACAAACTTTGTGCTCTTTTGCTAAATTATAGTTAGGATGATGGAAAAGCTCTGTAAACTTTTCTCTTAGCTCCTTAGTATTTGTAGTGTAGTGGCAAAAATAGTTTACAGAAATGAGTGGAAGGTAAGTGTACAAGTGTAAAGTAGTAAACAATGTGGACATTAGTAATTACAAATAGTAATGTGAGCCCATAGAATGTGAAAAACTGTGGTTACATTTGGGCAGAAAAAAATCTAAATGAGAAAGAAATTACAGAGTTATTATCTAGATTATCAAGATGCCCTCAAAGAATACAGGGGTAAATTGACAGGTGATCTTCCTGTTTTGCTTTGGTTAAGGAGGTTAATTAAAAAAAAAAAAAAAAAAACCAAAAAAAACCCACACAGAACAACAACAACAAAAAAGCCAAACAAAAAAACAACAACAAAAAAAACTCAAACCACAAAACCAGGAAGATACATGTTCAGCTCCAGTCATCCTCAGTGCTTGGATATTCAGCATCCAATTTAAAAGTTAGCAAAGAAATAATTTAATGGCATGTTAAAATGCAGTGGACGATTTCGTCCACTCTTTGTAGCCACCACTCCTGATAATTTTGAATGACTGCTGAAGTGTTAGAAATTGGTACTAAAGGTGAATGAGTGAATATCAGAGAGGAGACGATAACATTGTGATGGTGCTGATGTACAGATTGCAGGGTTGGTAGAAATAGTATTGCAAGGGAAAGCAGCAAACTCGGAGATGACAGCAGTGCTCTTAGGCCCGAGTCAGCCGTCTTGTTTGGCTTGCAGATAGAGGTACTGGAGTGTACCCTGTAGGACTGCTTTCAGAGGTAGAAGGATGCATGAGGAGTAGCAGTGGGAGGAAGGTACCTGTCGGTGGTACTAGCTCATTGGACATTGAGCTGCCTGTTGCACAAGCTGAGAGTATTTTGAAAGAAAGAGACTGTGGAAGATAAGTAATTTACTTGTGCTTTGGTTTATTCCCATCCAAAAAAACCAACCCTCTTCCTTTCCCCTCAGCAATACATGTGAATGGACATCTGTCATGGATATCTAAGCTTACTTAGATGTTGCTAGTCATAATTGTGTAGCAAGTTAAGCTTGCCTTTTTAAGTGATTTTTTTTTTCTTGCTGGGAAAAAAACACTAGCTTCTGGTCAGACAGAAGCATAAAAGCTTCATAAAAACATATGTGGCTGGGGTCCCATTCGGGTAAATCTCAAACAGATTCAAAGAGCAGATGAAGGAGAAGTGTCATATTATGAGAGTCTGATATATAAGAGCTTTCAGACTGTAGAGTTTAGGTCTAATTTAATTACCATAAAATTGCTTGGTTTGTGGCTATAGTTAAAGGACTTTAGCTGTTTCTATAAATTAAGAATATAAAGTGTTGAAACTGAGGGCAACTGGAAATTTATCTTCTTATATTTTATATTCTTCTTTGTATGAAAAAGGTGTATATTCTTAGAAGGCAAACTACCACAGCTGTAATTGGCTGTGCAATAGAAAATTAACAAGGTAAAACAAAAAAGACTGGGAGGGGGAAGAAGCATATTAAGAAGGAGGTAGGCAGAGAATGGGTGTTCAGATGTACAGCCCTGCTTTTGATTTTTTTTTCCTGAAGTTAAAAACATTAAGTTTTGTAACCTTAGAGGAGAGTCACCATTGAAAAATGGACTACAGTTATATCCAAGTGCAATTCATCTATTCAGAAAAGCCTGAGTTCGATGAGCTGTGGAAGTCTGCCTAAGCCTTTGCTGCTTGGACCTTGTGGTGCAGAACTTTTGCTGAATAATCTTCCAAGCACATAGTGTGTTATTTTTCTTAAAGTTCAGCTGATTGAAAGATTATGGTGCTTGTTTGGTTAGTCTTATATAAATTTATTTTTCATAAAATAATGTAATTCTTTATAAAGTTATTGTAGCTCTTTATGAACTACTAATATGCCTCTGTTTTATTTTTGTAATTTAGTTGATGTTTTTTGGAATCTTTCTGTGCCTGGATGCTTTTCTGTATATATTCACCCTGCTTCCTCTGAGAGTTTTTCTGGCAATGTTCCGGTTCATCACTTTGCCTTGCTATGGCTTACGGTAAGTTGATTCAAGAGAAAGGTGTTGATAACCTTAATCGGTGTTTCTCTATTTTATGCCTGTGCTTGATTTTATGGCCTTTCAGTGCCGTTTGAACTACTAATGACTTCTTCCACTTCAAAATAGAAGTTCTGGTCTACACTAGCCAAAGCAAAGGTGTATGTGTGGGGGACCTTTAAGCTTTGCCACCAGTCTCTGTCATCGTTGTTCCCTTCAGACACAACAGTTTGATAACAGCACCACTTAGGCATATTCAGGTTAGTAAAGGACAGAGATGTAACCTTACCCTATAGTTTTGTTCTTTTAACTAACATCTGTTTGATCAGTTTTTAAGATTCTTAGACTTGAGTTAATGACTTGGCTCATGTCTTTTGATATACTCTTTGATACTGAAACAAAAGGGGGTTTTTGTTTTTGTGGGGTTTTTGGGGTTTTTTTTGTGGGTTTGTTTTTTTTATAACAAAAGTTTTCCTTATTTCCACAGTAAACTTTGCCCAAAGAATCCATGTTGAAAATGTGTTATTTCCTTCAAAGAATCTTCATTGGATAGGACTAACTAATCAGAGGAATGCTAAGAAATTTTAGATCTTAACTCCTTGCTTTTTTCTTCAGATAAGTCCTAAGAAGTAGCTACTACATATGTAGGATTTTTGGTTTGCCTTTCTTTCATATTCATAAAAAATTGGATAGAATTAATTTCCATCATATAATTTGCTACTTCACAGTAAAGCCAATTATGTAAGCCTTAAGTGTAGCCTAGAAGAAAAGGAGTATTTATATTGATGTTGTAATTTGTCCTTTAATAAATAAGGACTTCAGGGGTTTCATTCTGGATTTCCCCAAACTTGTACCTGATTTTTTGTAAAAACTGAGTTGCTTGCAATTACATTATCAAATCTTTTATATATTAAGTGCTTTTAGAAGCGTAATTTACAATGTATGTTCTGGTTAGATCAAATGCTAGTCTAGCTGCATAAGAAACAGTATTTTAAAGTATAGTCTTTAAGTTGCAATGTTTGTACTTCAGTGACGCATAACCTGGGCACTAGGTGGCAGTCTCTGTGTTAGTGTGCTGTCCATTCTGAGCCGATTCGCTGACTTTCATTGTGTTGAGTTTTCTTAGTTGTGTAAAAAGTGACAGCTATTTAGTTGTAGCCTGATGAGAAGTCGAATTATGTGCCTATTTGTAAATGCCTATACGGATACTATTGCTGAAATGTTAAAATTGATGTAAATTTGGGTATGGATCAAGATAAAGAAGAAACCAATACTGAAAATATAATATACACCTCTGTGTGTATATACATGCACCTGCCATGTTAAAACTTAGTCTGCTTTCTTAGCAGTATTTTTAATGTGTGAGGCAGGAAGAATCCAGTTTAACCTATTCAGCTTGATTACGTTAAGTCTAAAGTGTTACCAGGTAAGAGGCGGTGAAACTGAGATTGTCTTGAGTCAAGCAGACTTTGTTTTTCTAAAAACTTCTGAAGCCATTTCTTCTGTCACAGTTTACTCAAATGTTTATGGAATTTATGTCCATAGAATCTCTTATTCACTGCTTGAGGTTTTGTGTAATTCATTAAAGTTTTAAAGTTGTCGGTTTTTTACTGAAAGGGTCACAATTCGTGTTTATAGTATTTAATGGAATGTTTTCAGATGTAAGGATGCATCTTTCCAAACAGAGCCTGCACTTCGCTTTGGATTTTTTTTTTTTTTTTTTTTTTCCGTGATTTTCTGGTCACGCTGATTTGAATTATGGCAAAAAATATTTGGGATTTTCTTCTAGCTCAGGAACTATATTTTTGTGTGTTTGTAACACAATAGAGTTCAATAGGTAGAGCACATCTGTAATTACAAAAGGTACTTAGAAAGCAGGTGGCTGTTTATCTTCTAGCTTGTATCTCTTCAATATGTCAAGTGTTGAGACATGACTAGTTATTTGAACCTGCCACATCATATTCCATTCTGTGTAGTAAATAAAAGTGCTCCTCCCTTCATCTTGACTTTTTTCCAAACATCTCAGTGAAGTGATTGAACAGTGAGTATTCCGTCCCCCTTCCAGTTTACTCTTCATTTATTTCCTTATAACTCTTTCTGCTCTTTTCAGTGTAGAAAAAGATCATGTTACCCGTTATTTCTTTAAAGCAAAATTGCATTCTATGTAAGATGGGCTAGTTCCTGTCTATGGTATTTTCGGTGGGGAGAGTGCTTTGTAGCCTCTTCCACGTGTTTTAATATTCCATGTTAGAGATCTCTGAGAGGAAACAGAGTAATGTGTCTTAAAGTAGTTTCCTTTTTCTGCCTAGACAGTGTAAGGGCTTCAGTTTGACTACTAAGTTGTCATTCCTCATCACTTGATCTTTCCCTTTGAGTAAATTTAGTTCTGTGTATTTGTTCAGGGCTATGCTGCTGTTAGAAGAGCTGTTTTAGAGAGAGACTCCCTCTGAACTCGGACAACTTCAGCCAGACTAATCCAAGATCCTGTCATTAAGTAAACTAAATGGCTGGTTAAATTGCTGTGGTCATCCTGGCAGAGGCTGAATCATCAGATTGTGATGGTTTTTGGCAGGTGCACCTTCATTACTGTAGAGCAGGGTGCTCTTAGAAAAATTAACAAACCCTTCACAAAATTAAATTACATCTTTGGAAATTAAAATAAATAAAATTTGCTCTGCTGTATTTTCTTCCAAGTCATGGAAAGAAGTTTCAGAAATTATGCTCATTGAATTTGGCAAACTACTCTCATTTTATTAAGATATCCTTTGACAACATAAAAGCACTTACTTTGCTGGAACAGCAAATCTAAAGTAGGGAGAGAAGTGGACCTGGTGGACTTCTATTTAGAATTACAGTCATTGATCTCAGGTGCTAAAAACTAGCTCTGCTGGTGTTTCAAAGGTACCATTTCCTTTTACAATTCAAAAACTTTTTATTTATTAGTTATTAATAATACCTTAGGCACAGAGATTCTGGGCAGATTAATATCTCTGTTTGTTTTGAAACACTTTTATAGAGCTAACTTTTTTTTTTCTTGAAAATATGTTGCACATCAGTAAAAGTTCTTGTGGGAGGGTGGAAAAGTTCTTCGGTATTATTTGAAAAACACCGTGATATGAAAGCTAAACTTTTATGTTAGTGAAATTCTGATGGGACTCCCAGATTAATTATGCTTAAAAGCATTTTACATCCTGTCCACAAAGCAAGTTGAGACTTTCTATAGAAAGTAAGACTTTTTTTCCTCCAAATTCCAGTTTTCTCTAGAAAATATAGAAGTAGATTTTTTTCATATATGTGAAGACTGATTGACAAGTTCTTTACATTTCTTACATGTGTAATTAGATATAGTTTATAAATGTGTTCTGTGTTTTTTCTTTTACTCTACACTCTTTTCTGTGAAATAATTGAACTCAAGTGCTGTCAGCAATAATATCATTAACTTCAGCCATAATATATGTATCTCTTAAAATTCCCATTGCCCCCCTGTGAAATCAGATTTATGCTGAACAGCATCACTTCAGGAAAGAAACCAAGCCCTTTTTTTTTTTTTTTTTTTTCTTTGCTAAAGACTGTAGCTTTTAAATACATGAAGTTCACCAGACAATAGGAAATTTATTGAGGAAGGAGTGCACCTGTCCACCAAAATATGTGGCTTTCTACCAACCAGAAAACATCAGGTGCATTCACTGTTTTCTGAAGTAAACTCTCAGATCAAGTACTCCTTTCTCCTTTTCCATAACAGTGCATAGTGTAGCAACATTACAAACTTCTCTTTCTTTCTTTCTTGTAAATCAGACCGAAGGGAAGAGCACTTTCACTTCCTTTATAGGATGGAATGTGGTGTCACAGGGATTCCTCCTTGGTGAGTAAATCCTGATTTTCTTTTTCCTTCTATGCTGTCAGCCACATTCACCCATCTACATGTAATTGGTAAAAAGACTGATTACAAACAAATAGCACAGCTAAATTAACCAACATACTTAAAAAGGAGAAACCAACCCCTGATTTTAATAACCAACTTGAACTAGATTCAGGGCTGTTTATGGTAGGTATATTTTCATATGTAACTTCACATCACTGTGGAAGTAGGTTGTGATCTTAGTAGATTTAAGACTTTTTTTACATAGAATGTTTGTGGACCGGTTCAACCCAATTTAAAATAGGATATCTTGGAAAAATTATAGCCCCTGCTGTACTTAGTGCCTTAAGAATTTTTACACTTATTCTAAGTAACTTTTCAGTCAGGTTCAGAGCAGCATTTTTGTGTGTACTTCAAAAAGGTTTTGTTTTGCTTTCTGTAATGCTTACTGTAAATTTTGTGGAGTTCTGAAATTTCATTGTCATATATCTTAGTATTAGACTTGAAGTTGGTTCTCTGCATAATAAAATACACTTTAGCATGTGTCCATTTACTGACTTCGATTATAGTCGATTCTGTCGTTTAAAAAAAACAGAAGCTTAATGAAAGCTAATTCTAGTTGTCGCTTATTTGAAACCTCATTGTTTTTTATTTTGAGACAGCTCTCATCGGGGCCTAGCAGCAAGGTTTGTTTCCTTTCATTCTTAGCATGGTCTCGTGCTGTGTCGTGTGCATGTAGAGGCTTTTGATTGTTTGAGAAATGAAATGCCAGCTAATCTTGGCAAACTCACCTCTCCATATCTTGGAATTCTTCATTTGGGACATATTTTTATCAGCAGTTGGTCTGTATACATCACAGTTTTAAAACAGTGAAGTCCTGCATACTGTAAACTGTATCTCTTTAAAATCTTAGTGTGTTCTAGATTGGGTCAAAATAGCTTTTCTTCCTGAAGCCAAACTTAATTCCAAAGTTGAGTGTAATTGTAGGAAAATATATCCAATAGATCACTTTGCATGTTTTGAGAATTCTTAATGTGTGAAAATTCTTAATATGGAAAACCCTCTTCAGAAAAACTTGCTTGGATTTTGTTTTCCCCAACATCTTTACTTGGTATGCTAACAGGAAAACATCCCCTTTTGTGTTATTCCGATCATTCTTGATAACGCTTCATACAAGATTAGAAGCTTACAAAACCACAGTTCATTAATGAAGGATACATTGAAGATTAAGACTTTGATCAAGACCAAATATCTACATGTAAAACAAAATCACAGAGTTCAGTTTCCATAATAGTATCTGTAATGTAAAGGTGGAGAAGGAAAAGATACCTAAAAAAACCTTTCAGCTGGACCACCATTTCAGTAACTGAAACATATTAGTTGTTATAAACCTCAGTGGTTGTTTAATTGTTCCAAAGTGTTAATATTGGATAATTACTACAGTTAGAAAAGGTTTGCTGTGAAATACTTGCTCAAACTTACAACCTCGATGCTAAAACACTTCTTCAGTGCATTTTCAGCCAAACAAAACTGTATAAATGAAAAGGGTTTTTGAATAGTACAATAATATTTAGAGAAGTAATACTGTTATCTTTGGAGTTTATGAATGTATAGGGTATGCAGGTGGCTAAGTTAATTATTTTATTAGGATTAAAATACTCATCTGAAGCATTATTGCAACAATAGGGTATTCATATCTTTATATTACTGTCTGTGACATCAGTATTGGAATTTTTGTTTAACTGTGAGGGATTAATTGGTTAGAGTAATCTGAATTATTTGTATGAGACCATACTAAAGGAACCTTTTAAAAATGCAGTAAAGTTTAAAATCAAACAAAAACAATGTACTGAATTCCAGTTGGTTTAACAAAAAAAATAATTTAAAAAAACCTGCCAAGCAAATCTACAAGGTGACTAGAAAACCATATGTAATCAGACTAGTGAAGAACTGAAGTGCACCAGAAAGCCTGAAAGACAAAAGTAAAGAAGTTGTGTGATAGCATATGACAATCTGTGCAGAGTTAATTTTAAAATAATACATGTAGAGTGCTTATGCATCCGATGCCTAAGTAATTAAGTACTCAGACAGGTATACTTGCCTACAGATTACTTTGTATACAGTATAGTGAACACATTGTTCATTTTGCAGTGACTGTTGCTGAAAAGCATACCATAGACAATTGTAGTGAAATTTTTTCACTTCTTTATACAGTAATAACAAATTTCTGTCTGTCCTGGGTTGTGTTTTATGTTCCAAATGGTTTAACCACTTTTAATTCAATAAACAGGGCTTATTAAAACATTTAACACCTGGTCTTGGTTTTTTCAGAAGTCAGTCACTTAAGCGAACTAGTGTGTTAGCTACTTGTGATTTGTAACATTAATGCCAAATATCAATAATGTGATTTATTTTTAATAATGCTGTAGTTAATGCTAAGTAACATTAATTGTACAGCTGTTGGAACAAGAAAGGAATTGGTGAGTTGGGTGCCAATACGCTGAAAAGCCTTGAGCTGTTCTGCTTCCTTAGTAACAAAGGAAACATACTGTTCAGTCCGGCATGCTGTTCAGCTGAAACAGTCACAGGAATCATTAGGGTGACCATTTGCATGGTAACATCCCTTATGGATGATTTAATTTAATGATTTTCAACCAGTAGATGGAGACAGAACGCTTAACTACTGTACGAAATGTGGATCATGGCCTTTCAAGTGTGGTATCAAATAGAGGTGCCTTGAAAATAATAGTTATGTCACTAGTTCCTGAAACTTTCACTTCTTTCAGAACATTGCTTATGGCAAATACTGCTTTTCACATGAAATTTTTCTTTACTGGCTAGCTTTTATATGTATATTCTAAAATAAGTTTGACTCTTAATTTTGTAACACTTGGAGTAGTTTTTCTTGCAAATGTCACAGGTAATTTGGGTTGTTCTTGTTCCTAAAATGTATAGAACAAATTTGTGGGTAGGAAGAATATTTGAAAGTATTCTGATTTGATAGTGTTTTAATGTCATTTCATACAAGACCAAAGTAATTCTAACTGAGAAGGATTCCTTATTAGTAAGGGAATTTGCCTGGGTTTTTTTAGCTTTCTAAAGGGTGAGGACATACACAGATCCAGTGGTTTTCTAAACAGGGGAAGGACTTGCATCCGTGCTTTCTAAATGTGTCCCAAAGTGGACAAACCAGAAACTGGGAAGTTTGAAGCATGATTATCAAACCTTGAGCTAGTGAATTGTATTGAAAAATATTTTTTTTCTGTAACAGACTGGTTTTCTGAATTCCTTGTTCTTGTTTGATGTCAGTCAGAGCCCTGTAGAAATTTTGCTGTAGTTTCAACTGCCTCAAACACAGCTTGATAAGCATTGAACTTGGCATGCTTCTCCTTTTGTTAATTGACTGGGCTGAAACAGAAGCATGCTGTGGTGGAATAGGGAGGCACGGTAATAAGGCTTGCACATCACTTTCTTATATTAAAATGGATAATAAGCTTGTATATCCCCTTAAGCATGCAGCTGTATAATTATATTATATGGAGACGTAAGGATTTGTTTCAGTGGACATTTTCTATTAGTAGACGTAATGGCAAATGTACCCAAAGGCTGTGGAGTTTGGACATTTTGTTAAGTACGTGCTGTAGAATATTGAAGTCACTGCATGTGCTTTTTCTGTGTTGCCTTAAATTGCTTGTTAGTGTTACAGCGTGAGTTTATCTGTACAGGAATGCTTACATTCTCACTCTAAATTCATGCAGATTGAAGGATGATCTCATGTTTAAACAGCTTGGTGTATTCAGCAGTAGTAACAGGAAAGCAGTACAAGATTTTATGTAGAAGATAATAGAAAGAATGGATAAGCCTTACTCTTTACTATTAAGATACTTTGATGTCTGAAGAAGTTTAATTTAAAATTTTGATCCCCTAGTAGTCTAGTCTGTACAGCTGAACTTGAGGCTTAGCATAATGAAACTACTTGTAAAATTTTGTAAAGAGTATCTTGGAGAGCATGACTCACAGCAAAAATGTTAGAAGTAATAATGGATTAACGGCAGAAAATAATTAGCTGCAAGACAAAGTCATGCATCTTAAGGCACATTTAAAGGACAATCCAAATGCCCTGCATCCACAAGTTTACTGGTTTATGAGCTGTGAAAGTTGTAATTTAAATTATATTCAGCTGTGTAATCAGCAAAATTGTGACAAAATTCACATAACATTATTTCTGGAGTCCAGTAGGATATTAGAGAAACTACATCTTGGACAAAGGCTCTTATGATACTGTCTTTTAAGAGTGGATTTCATTAGAGCTGGGAAAGCTTTAGTATTTAATTCACTTCTGCAGCATCATTGTATGCCTGGGATAGCTTTCAAAGGACCAACAAATACCTATAGACAGATTCTACTGCCTGCTGTTACATTCCAGTTATAAAAGGTAGTTGTTATGCTCTTTATTGATTGTTCTCCTTTTCTCACTCGTGAGAAAAAACACCTACAACTAATTTCCATATGAAATCTTTCTCTTTGTGTTCAGTCACACTTCATGCACAACTGTAAAAATATAAAGTCTTGAGTTTCAACTTGTCTGTTCAGTGGTTTCTAGAGCTGCATAGTAGCTCAGTAGCAAAGATCTTACCTTTTGGCTCCCTACTTTCCAATGAAATATTGCAAGTATGATAACTATGCTAAGTATTTCTTGGGGGTTTTTTTTGAGCTTTGTATGATTGTCATAGCTTGGCTGATAGCAGACTTTTTTCTTTATTTTTTTTTTCTTGTGATACTGTTGTACTCACAGTGCAGATGAATACAGCATTATGAATTTGTATGTGATATTAATCACAAGTTCTGATTACTTAGTGCTCAAGATTGTTCTGAAAGTACTTTCCATGATCTGCAGAGTAATTACTGAAGTCAGTGAGTACAAACATACATTGAGAAAAATGAATGCAGAAAATGTAATGTGTGTAATGAGTGGGCTGACTTTTTATAGCAGGCACAAAATCCCATCAGCCTGTGTGTTACATGTATTAAGCAGTTTAATGTGGAGGATAAGAATGATTTGTGACAAATACAGATTGAACCAACATGAGCCTGATCATACGCTAAAACCGTAATGTTAAGTTCTCACTGAACAATGACTACATCATTTCATAACTGCAGGCTTTGCATTTAGTTGTCACCTTCTGGTGGCAACTCATTAGTCTTAATCCATTTACTTGATGTCCTTGTCTTTTTAGGGCGTGTTTATCCTTATTCCCTATTGTATTCAGAGCCACACCTCAGAATCCTTTTGTAAATGTTATTAGCCAGAGCAGAAAGGATTCTGCTGCAATAAAAGTGGTTTTGTGGATTTCTGCAGTAGTCATGGTTAATCTCTCTCAGTTGGAAACATTTGTTGTAGACCATAGATTACTTGCCTAGTCAATATGAAGTGATCTTTCATTGTGTACAATTAAAGAGCACTGGAATGTATTTTGAATACCAGGATCTTCTTACTCTCTTCACTTTCTACAAAGCAGTATTCTGTATTTGGGCTTTGGATAATCCATTGTACTGACAAGAGGTTAGAGATGGTGGCACCTCTTCTGTTGTCTAACTGAGTAAATTGAAGGTATTTTTGTGACTTCTTTTAAAGTTGTGTTTTGAAGAAGTTATCATGGTGTTACTGTTCATTCTGCTTCTTGTGCCAGACGCACAAGAAGTTATTGCACAGCTTTGAATAGAATGTGATAGAGTGTATTTTAATTAACATCAGGTAAAAAAAATGGAGTTTACTGCAGTTTTTGTAGATATACAGACTACTGAGAAACTGGATCCAAATTACTTTGAGAGGTGAAATTCTCCAAAAATATTTGAATGTGCTCTGTTTTGCAAAAGCTTAATTCCTGTAAGGCACAGCAGTCTAGTCTAGCATCTGACCCTTTTGGGCACCCTTTGAATTGAATCATAATAATATTCAGTTTGTTCTGTACACAGCACGTTCTCAAAATATCCTTATCTTTCCAGCGTGTAGGATGCTGTGTGCAGGTTTGGATGCGCCTTCGTATGGTATTGTTCTGCCGAGCTCTCAGACTCGAAGCCACCTTTAGAAGAGTGATTGTACTCCTGATTGTGTGTAGTCTGTTCTTAGAGTTCATATTACTCTGTGATGGTTGCTATCCACTTTTACATTGTCTTCTCCCAAGTTGGTTTTACTTGAGTGTAGTCATACTGATGAAAGTCAACACAAGCAGAAGAGTGATAAGGCTAACAGTAAAGAATAACTGCCACATGTGACTGTACTGGTGGTGTTTGAAGTTCAAGGACTGGTGTTTCTGAAGTTATTTGTAAGACGGAAAACCTTTAAAATTTTGATTTGTGGATGTCAAAGCATTTTACTGAGAGAATCTTTCTGGGCTACTTCAGAAACTTCATAGGGCCTGCTTACTAGTGAATTTCCACAAGAGACCATCTCAAAAAAAAAAAAAAAAAACACCAAAAAAAACCCACAAAAACACTGATCACCTTGCCAAACTTTTAAAACAGGCTTTTGAAGTGGGCGTGTCTTTTGCTAGTCAGGTTTTCTCTACCAGGTACTCACTACTTCTCTAATGGTAAGGTAGGTGTTAGCGGAAAGAATGAAGATGCTAATTTTTGAGTAACAAATTCTGATTCTCTTTTTGAAATGCTAATACCTTTACCACTTTATCCCAATCTGTATTGTGGAGTATGAGTGTTGTCTGGAGAACTGACAGTGAAATGTCTCTGACACTTCCAAAACTGAAGTAGGCTGTAGAAAAAGGAACATGCTGTGTTACTTAGTGTATGAGTGGTAGTCATAATCGTGGGCTTGCTCAAGTCCTGTGTTTCAATATATGCTAATATATTAGAATAAGTATCATCATTTAAGTCAAATGTAGTTCAATAGGGCAATAAAATTTTGAAAAGTAACTTTTGCAGATTGGAGAAGATACTTTCTTTTTTTTTGTGTCATGCAAGGGCACAGTCCTAAGTTCTTTAAGCAGCAAGCAAGTGCTAGATGTGCTGGAAAATGGGCACTTTCCATTTTCTTTGTTTTTTAAATTGATATTTTCAGTTAAATCAATTGGGGTTGGGGAATAAAATTCAGTGAGGCTTTTTGTCAAGGGCTTAGTCTGAAATAGAATGTGACATAACTGTTACTGGATGACTTCTGAGAGCAAGAAGGTGTCTCTTAGGGTGAGAAAGCCATTCTAACCAGATCTGATGTGGTGGACTAGCTTGAATTCAATTATTTAGAATATAATTAACTTCAGTAAGATTATTCAGTAAAAAGTATATTATAAAAGGAGCAGTTGCTCTCTGTTCAAAGTGCAAAACTGTAAACATGAGAGTTCTGAAAAGCTTCCCTCTCATGCTCTTGGAACGAACAAGATCTGTTCACCTATTTCACCACAACACACTGTGGTTCTGTGAGTGTTACAATGCACGAATGCTGTCTTCGGAGCTTTTTAGTTTTGAATGGAAGACAAGAGAGAAAACCCAAGTAAAGCACTCTAGTTCTGGTGTTTTATGTAAATAGAATGAGTCAGGTGGCTGGGATTTTTGACTTGTCTGCAGCATCTGTAGAATATCTTGACTCCCAGAAGTCAAGTAACTGTTCAGATGTGTTTTTAACATAGCATGAATTTTTATTAACTTGCTCAAATTTTTTTTCTAAACATGTTACCAGTTTATGGGAGCATTGCCAAATCTCTGGATAACCTGGTGGTTTAAGAACACAGAAAGTGAAAATTCATAACTTGCATTCTGCTAATTGGTTCCAACTTCTGTGATATATTACTTTCTGTAAAAGACTGTCAGTGTATATTAAAAACAGATACATGCAATAGAAATTGTGTGGTTTTGATATTTAATTATCCACCTTTTGATTCAAAAGCTTTTTAAATGCTTTGCATTTTATTTACTAAGTAAATAGACAAGTAAATACTGCCTTGCAATTTCATTATGCTTATGGCTGCTATTGTGGCAATTGAGATAAAGTTATTTTCTTCCTGTAGTTTCCTGTAGGATGAAATGTTATAATGATTCACTTAGTCTCCTGGATTACTTGTGAGACTACAGAAAGAAAACTTCTGTATTGATTAAAGATCAATGTCAATCTCTGCTGCCAGATTGTTTCTTTTACTGCTGCAGAGCTTAGACCCTAAAAGAAGATACGTTTTGGTGTTTAGAACCTGTTCCTTGGCACCTGGTTTATTATACTGAAATTGAAGATGACTGCTTCATTTCTTATTTCTTTGTAGCACGTACAATTTCTGTAACTGAGGAAGTCAAAATGATAAGTAGAATTGGCTGGAAGAGGTAAATTACTATCCAAAGGGCATGCATGTGGAAGGCTTGTAACAAGTGGGAGCTCTTGCCCAGCAAATGCAGTATTTTAACTGTATGGATGTGGCGGTTGAGAGAATGTGATCCTGTTCAGGAGAGTGATCTATAAATATGTATCACTGTCACAGTGTTCCTTATGTGTTGGAGTGAAAGTCAGGGAAAAGGTCAGTAATAAATTACATTAAAATATGTCTTTGATTAACAGCTTCTGTAAATGCCTGTTGACTTGGTAACATTTGTATTTTTTGGGTATGCGACATTTAGTGGAACTTTTTGCCCTTTGTATTTCAGTGATAGACGTTTACTACAACCTGCTCAGGTATGTGACATTCTCAAAGGAGTTATATTGGTCATCTGCTACTTCATGATGCACTATGTTGACTACTCTATGATGTATCATCTGATAAGGGGACAGTCTGTCATAAAGCTCTACATCATCTATAACATGCTTGAGGTAAGAATGTTGGAATTGGGATATCACACATGCTTTTTTCAAATGATCTAATAATACTGTTGTATTGGTGTATTTCTACTTAGAATATGGTACATCTTGTATTCTCATGAAGGTGTATACACCCATGACAATAAGCCTGGATGTTCATGAAAAATTAGTTTTGTAGGTAGTTTCATATTGCCTAGTTCCTGGGGCTTCTTCATCAGTTCCATTTAATGAAAATTGAGAACTGGAAAAGGAAGAAGAAATTTCTTAAACTGAAATGCAACAAGTGGAATGAATGAGGTTTTACACTCATTGAGAAAAGTAGAAATTATTGATTTGAAATGGTGATAAGATTCTGAGAGAGAGCAGAGGAGGAAGATAGTAGAAACATGGAATTTGGTTTTTAATTCTTCATTATGGCAGTATAGCTTTCATTGTATGCAAGGACACATGTTCCTGCCTAATTTTTCTCAGTCCTGTCTAGAAGACAAAAGCCTGAGTACATAAACAGTAAGTTGAATGAATATAGTGAAACAAGAAAAGAAAAATTGGTTTGGGGAGGTAAGATAAAGAGAGATTCTGAGGGGAAAAAAAAATGTTTTGTTACTAATGTAAATCATGAGAGTTTTAATTGCACTGCTGTGATCAGCGATTCACAAAGTAAATGTTTTCATAGCTACAATCTTATCTTTATCCTGCATATATAGGACATACTAGGAGTACAACCTCTTAAAAGGGCTCAGGTCTTTGTACACAAGAGTTACTCTGCTGGGATTTCTGGGACCTCTGAGTATCATATTTATCTGTGTTTGAACATCTGTTGTATCTCTGAAGTCTGCTAAAATGGGGCTACTCTGTGCAAAACATGAATATTTTGTTTCAAGACATTTGTTCTTTCCTCATAAAATATAAAAATATTGCATAAGGAACACAATTATCCTGAGTAGAGTGAATACCATAGAAGATACCTCAGCTGTTAATTCACAGGATTTTGTTTCCTTTGATTTTAGATTTGCTGAAAAAACACAAATACTAAATTGGCGCTGGATTACTATGTGGATTTTAGCAGTGTTGGGAAATATTCATCTGTGTACGGTTCCATAGTCTGAGAGATTTTCACTTAAATAAATCCATGTAATCAAAATAGTAATATCTCTTTATTTCAAAACTACTTCAAGTTACTTCTCTCAAGTCTGAGAAGTACAGCACTATATGCTTAGCACGTAATTTGAAGAGAGATTGTAGTGTTTGCTGTGAACTGGAAGCCATATCCTGTTCCAGTTCAAATGAAGAGTTGAGCTTCATTGCTGAGTTTGGAAGAACCAAAAGTGTGTGTCTCAGTTAAGAAGTGCTGCCTGAGCTTTAGGGGTTTTTTTCAGGAGAGGGGTTAGTCTGTTACTACTCAAAGTTATTAGAAAAGATTACACTAGGCTTTTGAAGTTGGAAATGGTACTTTATTTCCATGGTGTCTCATGAAATCAAACTTGCCAAGCAGAGGGCTTATTTTTAAGGGGCTTTTTTACCACGGTAGGTTGCAGCTACAGTATTGGCAGAAAATACCATGGGATGCCACTGAAAGACTTGGTTGATGGCCAGCTTTCAGAAGTTTCAATTTTGGCTTGCTTAGACTTTGAATTTTGTTATCAGCCTTTGTTGTTCATGCAAGCAATGATTTTTAAGGAACTGGTAAAGTTGATTGCCTAAAAAAGATATATTTATATTTTCACAAGTTTTCGAAATAGGAAGATCTTAATTTAGTCACATCACTGAACAACAGAGATGTTTACAATGTCCTAATGTTTTCGGCTATTGACAAGTCCAGAGAATATAGTCCTGGACAGATACAAGAAATGCAAAATCTTCAAATTATGTGCTGAATGCTCCAGATAGCCTAGTGGGAACATTCAGCACATTTGGGTTAAATGACACTTTTCTTTTTTTAGATTCAGACCCACCGGCTCCTGCTCCTTGTGAAGCCCCAGTGTGCGTTATGCTGGTGACAGCGCTCACCGTGGAATTCTGCTGGAGCCTGGAGCCGGCTTGTAGGGGTTAGGTAAGTCGTATTTGGAAAAGAGAGCAACAATATTGTGTGCTGGGTTTTAATATTCTCTATCCTGTCAGCTGAGAAACAAGGAGTGCTTAAAAAGGAATACAAAGCTACCATTTTATTTATTAAAACCCTCACAATATTGTCAACAAAAACTTAGCAAACTGTGAGCATTCTGTAGCTGGTGTTACTACACCAGGTGTAATGGGTCATCACAATGAGCAGGAACCAAATCATGCAGACCATCTCAGTTTACATAATCTGAAAGCCGAAAACAATATCACTGTAAATATCTCTCGAACTGATGGATTTTTGATCTTTGTATTTATAAGAATTCATCAGCTCGTGGTTTTGTTCGTTTTATTTCCTAGGTGATGCTTAAAGAGTAGCTCATAGTACAGGTTCCTTGAGACATCCAGTAAAACATTGTTTTAATTCAGCTCTCATGTTTTAGGAAATGTGAATAAAAGTTGACTTGAGTAAGTTAAATTATAAGACTTCTCTCCCTTCAATATCCTTACCTTTATAACAATTCATTAACAAAGTCAGGAGATGATTCCAAATCTAGGTTTGCTTATGTTGTCCCAGGAACTTTCTAATTAGTAGTGTGATTCAGTATTTGCAAGTGCACTGTGCACCTAGTTTTGAATGGCTACATGTTGTTTGAACATGTCTGAAATCGTTGTCTTACAGAAATGCAGTAAGGGGAAGTGACAGTTGTCTTTGTTACATAGAGATAATCTGTTTTTCATATTTAACTATGTGTTTGATTGAGTGAGCAATGAAAGATACCCCTTTTTTTGTAGCCAGACATATGCCTTGTGACACAAAATTTAATTTTTGAAGTGCTATTTTTGTTGTCCTGTGCAGCCTAATTTTTAAGTTACAGAACTGTAGTGTATAGGTAGAAAAAAAAAAGGTTTTCTTTGTAATGATCTTCAGTTTTACATGCCTGCTGATGGATGAAGTGTTGAGAACTGGTGGAACTCAATGCAGCTTTTCTTGCTGTGGTATTGAATTACAAGCTCAGATTGCTGTCCATGTTTTTCATGTCTTTATCTTTTTTACTGCCAGACTTTTTTCCCCCAGTTGTACATATATTCTTTGGGTTACTCTTCAGATGTTTGTAGTTTTTTCAAACTAATTTTCCCTTTGGGGCAGAATTTCTACTCCCTCGTGATCATTTGTTGTGTTAGAGTACTTGTAATTTTGAATTCTGCTTCGTGCATTGGCTTGTGTTGAGTATATATTTTATTCCAATATGTAAGGAAACACTACAGCCAAATCTAAACCAAATCCTTTTTGTACCTGTAAGCTGATGTTGTTACCTATCACGCATTTGAAATCCATTTTCTGTTCTTTTTTTCCCCACAACTAAACCCAGAGGGATGGAAAAAAACCATTTAGGATAGCTTGATGCAAACATATTGCTTTATCAAAGGCTGAAATTTGAACTGTGTTAGCATGCCTTCCAAGGAACATCTAAGATAACGTGGTTTTATATTGTAAATACATTCAAAAAGTGGATGGTAAATTTGAGAGAGAAAGTAAGCTGCCAAGTATAGAAAAGGACAAATATTGCCATGAAATCCAGAGTGGAAATGGAGTGAAAAGAGATGGAAAGTGATAAAGATGTGAAACTTTTTTTTTAGGTTCAACTGTACTTACAGTGGCATATTCAAATGCTGGAGAGAAAAATATTGCTTTAAGGCAGTAAAAAACTTTTTTTTTTTTAGGTGGCTGATCGCCTGTTTTCTTCATTTGGACAAGATATTTTGGATGCTCTTTACTGGACAGCTACAGAACCTAAAGAAAGAAAAAGAGCTCATATAGGTGTGATTCCTCACTTCTTCATGGCAGTGTTGTATGTCTGTATCCTTTACTTAAATGAATTACAAAGTTTTCTAAACTAAATTACATAATAATTGCTCTGCATTATTTTACTGTATTTAAAAAAATATTCTTACTAAATCAATGTTCACTTACTTTCAAAGTAAGGTTTCCGGTACTACAGATTTTAAAAATGAATGGAAAAAAAACCCTTTAAACCTACTTTAAGAATAGTGATATACCTCTGTAGTAGTAGACAGCTTTTTTTTAATGCCCACTGGGTAGTAAAATGAAAAACAGTAACTGGGATAGTTCCTGGAAACTCTGATTTATTGCATTTGCATGTGAGTATTTTAGGTCACAGGGTCTTGAAGACAGTGGGGGTTTGTTATTTAGTGGAATGTTACAAATACCTAGCTTGAAAATATTTTCTTGAAGTGATGGGATAAGCTCATGCATATTCAGGATGCAAATTAGTTTAGTATGAAGCAGCCTTACAGTGATGAAAATGATCTGTAAAGAGATACATAGTCTGACAGATATGATGATTTTCAGAATCTTGTACTTCCCCTGTGTTCTCTGAAATCTTCAGGCTAAATGAATTTTTTTTTATCTCGTATTTTTTTTCATCAGGCTGTATTGCTGTTTCTCCTGACCAATGTCTTTGGGCTCTTTCAAAAGAAAAAATAACATAATGACTATGTGCTGCAGAGCACTGTGGGTACATTATATAGGTTTAAGTACTGTCTTGCTGTAAAAGTAGTTGTCAGGGAGATAGGAGCATTTTTGTTAAACTTTAGAAACAAAATGGGAAATTTGAGGTTTGCTGTGCAGTATTGTTGTGCAGAAAAATTATTTCCAAACGTACTTCCTTAGCCCTTGTGTCTAGTCCTGCACGCTATTCTTATAATGGTTCAAGCAACAACCCTTAATGTGGCCTTCAACTCCCACAATAAATCACTGCTTACCATCATGATGTCCAATAATGTAAGTATGTAGCTTTACTATGTAACTAGCCTAATTATTTTTCAGCATCCTTCTTCTTTGTGTGTCATATTTGCATATTTTTGGTTGTCTGATTTGTTTATATCAGTTTTTTTAATCAATTAAGGCTAACTAACTGGTTTTTAAAATTGCAGTTCGTTGAAATAAAAGGAAGTGTTTTCAAGAAGTTTGAGAAGAACAACCTTTTTCAAATGTCCAACAGTGGTACGTATAGCTCTGCTAAGCAGGAGAAAATGTAAAGTGAGAGGCTGTTTTGTTTTGGTTTTTTACTTTATTGGTTTACTTAATATTATTGCTAAAACAGCTTTACCTTGGTGAAGTTGAGCATTCTGACTTGAATTCCTCAGTTCTATTAGTTTTTGGTTCAGTAGGATGAGATACTGGGATTCTACTCCCAGAAATGTTTTTTTTTTTTTCCTTAAATGGCTTGTTTTTATTTGAGGTGTTAAAAAAACCTGTTGACTGTGTGCTAAAGGTATTATTAAATACACACTTCAGATTTATGTCACAGTATTGAAAATATCCATGCTTTGAAGTGTCAGAAATCTGTTTTCAAAAAGTCGGCTATGGTGGTGTGCTGTGTTGACAGTAATCTCAGAATGCATGTCATTTGGCAGTTGAGGGGGTGGACCTTGAAATTTCCCCCTCCCGAAAAAGAATGTTACTGTCAAGTAGCTGGCTTCTGAAGGAAATACCAGGGATGACTGACTTTTGACATGCTATCAAGATAATAGAGGATACTCCAGACACATGTTATGCTTCTGGCACTTCTTAACTGTGTTACTGCTTAGTATGAAATTTGGGAAATCTTACTTGGTGTGTTTCACAAGAAAAAGCTATTACTGCTTTCCTTTGATGGCAGGTCTTTCTAATAGTGACAGGTATCTGAAATGTTTGTTGAATTCTTGGTTTCAAAACTAATAGGAGAGATTGCACTTCAAGGTTGTACTAGAGCTTCTTTGCTTGTAGTATTTTCTGATCTTTGAACACATCTGTTTCTGTTTTCATAGATTTCATTTTGGCTGGAAAAGGCCTTTAATAAGACCATTGAGTTCAACCATTAACACTACCAAGTCCACCACTAAACCACGTCCCTAAGTGTCTCATCTATATGTCTTTTAAATACATCCAGGGACGGTGACTCTGCCACCTCCCTGGGCAGCCTCTTCCAGTGCTTGACAACCCTTTCCTAATGTCCAGCCTAACCCTCCCCTGGCACAACTTGAGGCCATTTCCTCTTGTCCTGTCACCTGAGAGAAGAGGCCGGCACCCACTCTCAGCCTCCTTTCAGGTAGTTGTAGAGGGTGATTAAGTTCTCGGTTCAGTTCAGCCTGACAGCCCCAGTTCTTTCAGCTGCTTCTCATAAGGCTTGTTCTCCAGGCCCTTCACCAGCTTCAATGCACTTGTTTGAACACACTTCAGCTTTGTTGCCCTTCTTTGAATGCACTCCAGTTTCTGTGTATGATTTTTTTTTTTTTATCAAAGCTATTTATACAGACAAGGAAACAAAATATGTTCTATTTTTTCATTCAGTCTCCTAAACCAGAGAATTCAAATGTTGAATAAGCTAAAGAAAATAAATAATCTGCTTATTTAAAAACAGAAGATTCTGTTTTGTGGTTTTTTTTTAATTTTTTCCTCATATGCATCTGCAAACTGCCCTGCCATTACATGCAAATGTTAAATTGCAATTGTTTTTTGATGCTTTGGATGAAAAACTATTTACATAAAATTCTAAATATATCACATAACAGAAAAACTGACACTAGATTTTTATCTCACCCACGGAAGTTCTTAAACCCCCCAAAAATAATCTTCCCAGGCATGTTGATGAGGTGCTTGTACTGTGCTAATAGTATGTATTTTGAGTTCAAAGATTTAAGTACTTACACTTAATTTTAAAAATGTAACTTTGCAGAGAGAACATCAGAAAGTGATGTTTACTAAAATATTGACAGAAAACACACATGGATTTTCTGAAATTTTCTCTCATTAATCACAATACTTGCAGAAGATAGTTAAAAGTATGCACCTGGCTCTCCTACTGAAAGATGAAGCCTCTTTCTTGATTTAAATGTTGAAACAAATGAGGGACTGCTATTAGGAATGGCTAGTAATTTCCTACATAAAAAGCACCTGCAATTGTATGCTAGAAGAAAAGTATGTCGTCATTTTATTATTAGACATTATTGAAGACCCGTAATAGCAGTTATCGGGTCTGCCTTTATCACCGGGTGGAAAAAGTGATGCCATTCATTATACCATGTGGGGATGGAAGCAGGTGAGTTCATTCATAGAAGAGTGCACAAAACAAGCTAATTTATTCCCTTCAAACATAACTTTTCCTGGAATGCTTCTCAGTATGGCTATAAATAGCAGTGGTTTTCTTCTCAGATAAATAGATGGGTTTTTAGGAGACATATTCACCTCTTTTGAACTTGAACAGTTTTATTGCATCATGGCTTCAGTGAGGATGGGTCAGTATTGCTTCAGTTGCTGCATTCTGGTAACTTTGTTATCCTTTAAATATTTTACTTCCTGTAGCTGAAATTGTAGCATACCTTGAGTTGTCATCCTATAGCCTGCCCCTGGAACCAAGGCTAGGCTGGGCCTCTGGACTGAGCTTCAGTTAGCCTTTGGAGTACCTCATGCACAGTATGCTTAAGCTGCATGCCTGGGCTGAACTAAATTGCTAAAATGAAACACTAGCTATAGGTTGTGCTATATATTTCCCACCTCTCAGCTTCTTCCAGCAGCTTTCTTAGGTCTGCAGTCTACTGTAGGGCAACAATGGCAACAGTAGCTGATTAAGCTTAGACTGAATGGATGCCCTCTTGCCCCATCTTTTCCGTATCTCTGCTCAAAATGTAACTGTTGCCTTAAACATGTTTTTTAAGTTCACTGAAAATGTACTGATCAGTACACGGAAGCTAAATATACTAATTCGGGTGGGGTGAAGTAAGGTCAGTCCCATAGAGGCATCTGAGGAACTTGTCATGAGTAGGTGAAACTCCCTTCTTATTTAACGTGTTAATCAAAAGAAAAATATGAACTAGCAGAAAAGTAAGATGTCAGTAACCTCAAGAGTAGACACTGTGATTAAGAGAAGTTGCTACAAACAGAATTCAAAAGTGAGTACTCTTGTGAATAGAAGCATGAAAATAGGAAAGAACCGTTTCATTTGTATTTTCTAAGACACATCCTGTGTTGTACACTGAAATACCTTGCAGAGCTCTGTGTGGTATTGAAAATACTGTGTGGTAAGACACCAGGATATGAACTACTACCAAGCTTCCAGTTAAGATTCATTTGGCTTGTGGGGACCAAGCTGATTTGTCACTGCACTATTTTTTCTAGTATTTCCAGTTCTGGACTCTGTGTCTGTAGAGTCAGTGATCCTTCTAACCTTTGGCCATTTAAAATCCTGCTGTAACCCCTAATTCACTATTACCTCAGGACTAAAAGAATTCTGAATCATCTACATGAAAATGAATTGAACAGACCAGGAGACACACATTGGTTACAAAGTCACCTAATAAAACTGAACTTGTTCTCCTTTAGGTGCCGGAGATCAAGACAGATCTTGAGGTTTGTGTAGCTGCCTGAGACTGCAGCTACAGAATCTGATTTCAGCCATGTTGGCCTGCAGCTTTGATTTGTCAGCTGCAGCAAAACTACTTTCATGTTGTCACCCTGACTTTTACTAGGAGATTTATGTACAGCCAGGCAATCTAACTACTGTGGCTGCTGGAAAAGACTTCTATACAGAAAACATTAAACCTTATATTTATTGTAGCAGGAAGAAACATTTCCCGAAATTTAAGTAGTATATTCTCTTTTTGAAGTAGATATCTATGAGGTAATGTTATAGGGTTCAGATTTAGTGAACAAGGAGACCAAACTTGTAAAGAGAAGCTCTTTCATCATTGTTGAAAGCCCAGCACGCTGCTTTCCTTTATGCTTTTAAATGTCTTAGTTTAGGGCATATCTTGAAAGTAAAATCAATTTTTGTACCTCATGTGAAGTATGTTAGGTGCAGTGTGTTAATGTTTGCTTCACTTGGCTGTTTGGCCAGATTAGTCCTTGTTTCTTAAATCTCTCATCTCAAAAATTTAACATTAACTCTGAAGCTTTAGGAACTTAAATTTTTTTCTTTATAATTTCTTACTCTTTCTTAATTCTGTTCTTTGTTTTGTTCCTCATTTTCAGTCTCTTCAGCTTTGATCAAAATATTGAACAGCATTTATTTTTACCTTTGCTCTCTTGACTTAAACTGCATTTTCATGTGGTTTCTGAGTTTTGTTAATACCATTATTCTAATCAAGTTGCTCATTTGAAAGATGAGGGGTTTGGGGCAGGAGTACGTTTAGGGTAGATTAGTGCCTCCTTGTTAGTCTTTGATCCTTTCTTCTGCTCTGGTCACTTGTTAAAAGTTCTAGTTGTCATTTGAGCTACTTAGGATTTGCTGAGATGTAAACTAAAAGGTCTTTTTTTGCTACTTGTATTCCATGATTTATAACCAGCTTTTGATCTAACCATATAAACAGTGGGATTAGCCTGCTCAAATTTTTTTCCCTCCTCATTAAGGATTTCTGCATGATGTGTCAGAGAATCTGGAAAGGAATAACTAGGTCTTCTAAAGACTATTCTCTACCCATGCAAGTAGAAGTGCCACTTCTGGATCTCTGTGGGATCTCACAGCCCTTCTTTTTCATTACCACTGCAAAGTACCTAAGTTCCTCAGAGTTCAGGTCCTTCCTGAATTAATTGAGTACTCAATTGTTTGGGATGTTGGCTAATTGATTACATGAGTCCATACTACTAGATGCAGTGCTTTCCTGGGAACATCCTTTATTTCCAATCGCATCCATTCTGCAGTCTTTTACACGTTTTTTTAAAAGTGATGATGCCCTCTGACACATTGGCACTTTGGGTCTCTGTTTCTGTCAGTTCTTAAAACTGAACGTCTCGATTTTTCAGAAGCATTTCTGGAAAGGCAGGACATGTTTGTAATATAGATGTAGGATTCCATTTGGATTGGAATGGCAGGGCAAAAATGTAAGTGGGATGAGAGTATTTATGATTTCATTTGGCTATGTGCAGTCCTGTTTTGGGCTTTACTTCACAGAACCAACAGGGAAAAAAAGCAAGTTGTGCTTTTTTTTTTCCCCTGTTGCATTTATGACAGTATGTGCATTACTGGCTTTGAAACAAATGTTTACAACCTTTATTCCTATGACAGCCCTAATAGGTGCACATGACTTAACTTCATAGAATAAGGTATGTTGTGGTTAGATCTTGATGTATGACCACTAAATTCTGATGTACCAAGTCTTGGAATGTCTGATTCTTCCTTTCCCTTTTCAGTATACTGAAATATATACTTTACAGGAAACTAAAAAGATTTATTCATTAGTAGTCATTTGCACCACCAGTGGATGTGTGAAAGCACAAGCAAATTCAGTGTCATATTTCAAAATAGTCTAAAGAGTGTGTGTAGGGGGAGTGTGTAGTTTGAGGTGTGGTTGGGTTCCAGGGCCAGCCCTGTTAAGGGTACAGTTTAAGCACAGTGTTAGAATGCAGTCAATGCATGGTATGTGCTGACAGGAGACCAGTCAGGGCGTAAGTGTATCTGAATTAGTGATAGATGTCAGTTCTTCAGCACTTAGGAGCATAAACAGTGAGAAAGTAACTTAGTCATGTGCTTGTGGAGGTAGCTGAAGACAGTTAGAAATGTCCTCAGCCTTTGGCTTGGTCCATTATTTAACCTTTATAATGGAAATGGTTATCAGAGAATACTGTATTCGAACTGAAAAACAGTTTGTGATAAGCTGATCACTGACACTTTGTGGGATATGCTTGAACCTGAGCTGAAATGTCTTGTGTCAGTATTGTTAAGGATTGTCATGATGGAGAATGAAGAACAGAGATCCCTTTTTCTTCTTGCTTTTTACTGTTTGTCATAATAAAGCACAACAGAGATTTCTTTTTGCCTGTACCTGCCCTTTCTATAACTCAACAGTGGTGGCTTCTCACTGGTTCCCCAGATTGGTTCCCCAGATTCACAAGTACTGTAATTTACTTTCCCTTTTTCAAGAGCATGACATCCCTAGGTGTGAATCTAAGGATGCAGCCTCACTTGTCCTGTAGTTCACCACGTCATCAAAAAAGTGGCAACATGTGGTGCAGGGAATTCCTCTCACCTGTTTAAAAAAAATAAACACACGCAAATCAAACACCAAAACCAAACTTATATATGCAACAAAATAAGTTCATAAGAATTGACAAAACGTTATTGTTGCATATTTAGTATTCTGAAATTCTAATTGGGATATAGGACTTAATACCATTGGCTGTTTTGGGTGTCCAGAAGCCTTTTATGTCCATGTCCGTGAGGGTGAAAAATGAAATTAATTTCTGAATCATTTGTGTTTATCATTGAAGCTGCTGTAAAATGTCCTTTTTCCCTTGGTTGTGTCTCTGACAGTCAGTTGATGAGAATGATGAGGATGAAGAGCAGCTGCATTCGTTCCTCTGGCTCCAAGCAGCCTTGAACAGTGGTGGCGACAGATAACAGATTAGAAGGGAGGCCAATGAGAATAGGAGAAATAAGCAGAGGGGAAAAATAGGTGTCAGCCTGTCAGCCAGTCTCAGATATGAGGGAGGAAAAATGTTTATTATTATAGTGTAAGAGGAAATTTAAGGGCATAGACATCTCTCCTCAATTTAATCCTGTCAGCTGGTGTGCTAACTTATACTGAGCAGGCAATAAATGTCTGAAGACAATTGGTGTAAGACATGCTTTAATGTTTAGACCTGACTTAAGGTCCTTTCCACTTTTTATCTGTACAGGCCTCCCTGGGATTTGAAGCACCAAAGGTGGGATCTGTGTGTTGCCTTAGGCATTGCTGATGGATGATGTGTCATAGCTGTGTGGAAGTACGCACTGTGGGAAATATAAGATGAAACCTTCATAGAATCATAGAATCATAGGG